CAATGGGTGAGATTGGTCCATGTTAAACTGTTTTAATACCTTTTATGTATATGTCTTTTGATGCACAAGGATTAAACCCTTAAGGTGTTCAGTCTGTAATTCCAAACAAAATTTTGTTTTACCCAAATCTTTCATCTCAAATTATTTCTTAAGGTATTCAACCGTTTGGGAAATTTCACCAGAGGTTCCTAGGATATTCAGGTCATCAACATACACTGGTATTATTACAAAGCCCTGGTCGAATTTCTTTATGAATATGGATGGGCTTATTAGATCATTCTTATAGTCCTCTTTCACTAAGTACTCGCTTAGTCTATTGTACTACATTTGACCTGATTGTTTCAAACCATAAAGGGACTTATTCAACTTTATGCAATATTTTCTCGAGAACTTGATTTCTCTTTCAGCTCAATACCCTCATGTACTTTCATGTATATCTCATTATCCAGTGGACCATATAAATATGCAGTTACTACATCCATTAACCACAGGTCTAAGTTATCTCTTATGGCTAGACTTATTAGGAATCTAAAAGTAGTAACATCCACCACAGAGGAGTATGCCTCCTCATAATATATTCCTGGTCTCTGTGAGAATCCTTGTGTAACCAGTCGTCCTTTATATCTCACGGCTTCACCATGTTCATTTCTTTTCCTCACAAAGACCCATTTATGTCCAACTGGTTTAATATCGGGAGGTGTCTGAATTATAGGACCAAAGACCTCTCTTTTCTTTAAAGAATTTAACTCCATGTTTATAGCTTCTTTCCATTTGATCCAATCTGATCATTGAGTGCACTCATAAATAGACGTGGGTTCATGATCCTCGTTCATGTCCATAGTTTCAAGTGCTACGTTACATGCAAATATATCATCAATGTCGACATTCTTTATGTTCCACTGTATTCCAGATATGACATAATTGATTGAGATCTCATTATTATCAGGACCATCAGTATCATGAACATCAATACGAATTGGTGCATTCACAGCTGGTATATATGAATTCGTTACTCTATTCGGGTCAGCAAAAGAATCTGGCAATTGATTAGCTAGCTTTTGTAAGTGTATTATCTTTTGGATTTCTAAATCACACTCTTGAGTCCGAGGATCATGCCAGGATAACGATGGTTGAGACCATGAAATTTATTTTACCTTTACCCAGCTTATTATTATCTCCCCCTAATGTTGGATAGTTGGATTCATCAAAGTGACAATCGCGTACCTGGCCTTAAACAAATCACCCGTGGTTGGCTCAAGGTACTTTACTATGGTGGGAGATTCATATCCAACGTATATCACCATCCTCCTTTGAGGTCCCATCTTAGTTCTCTCTGGTAGTGCTATTGGTACATAGGCGGCACAGCCAAATGTTTTAAGATGAGATATGACTGGCTCGTGACCGGTAAGCAATTGGGACGGGGAATATCTATGCTCACTAGATGCCGTGATGCGAATTAGTTTGGCTGCATATAAAACTGCATGTCCCCAAGCTGAGACCGAGGGTTTTGATCTCATAAGTAATGGTCTAGCAATTAATTAATTGTATGCATTTAATAAAGGATTCGTCCAAGCCATTTTGTGTATGTACATGTGCCAAAGAATGTTATACACTTACCCCCATAGACATACAATAATAATTAAAAGCTTGAGACGTGAATTCACCAGCATTATCAAGTCGTATAGTCTTAAGAGGAAAATATGGAAAGTGAGCTCTTAAACAAATCATCTGAGAAAGTAACCTCGCAAACGCCAAGTTATGAGTTGATAATCGACTTACACGCGACCATCTTGTGGACGCATCAATAAGGACCATAAAGTATCTAAACGTCCCACAGGGTGGGTGTAGTGGTCCACAGATGTCCCCTTGTATTCTTTTCAGAAAGTTTATTGTTCCCTTAGTCACTTTAACTGGTGATGGCCTAAAAATGAGTTCACTTGTGAACATGCTACACATGTGAGATTCTTAGGGATAACTCTTCTTTCTTTAAATGTGTGCCCATTTGTATTAGATATCAATTTTCGCATCATGGTCGAACCGTGGTGGCCCAACCGGTCATGCCAAAGAGTGAAGTTCTCGGTAAAAACTTTGTTTACCGTGGCATTAGCCTCTATCATACTGATCTTGGCATAGTAAAGACCAGTTCTAGTTCAAAACAAAAATCATAGAACACATTCAGTCATTAATTTTTAAGTAGACAAAGAAATAAAACAAATTCAAAGAAACATGGAAACAAACAAAACATCAAGCAAAGAAAACACGAAAGTTTGATGGTCGAAATCAACTTGATTCTTTTAACCAATCTGAAGTTGCATACTCCATATTATCATCTCGTCCATTGTCAACATCATCTTCATTATCTTGATAGATGAAATGGGCCTCAGGGTTATTCCCTTTCAAACTCTCTTGGTAGAGTTCAACTAGATGTTTGGGAGTCGTACATGTCTTAGCCCAATGGTTACTCATTCCGCACCTATGGCACACTGATTTGGTCGATTTGGTCGAGTATTGTTGTTTAAAGAAGATACCACGGCTTAAATTGGGTTGGTATCCGCGGCCTCTGTTCCCATAATTGTTCCCTCGGCCGTCGTAGTTAGGCCACGGCCGTGTTGGCTGTTGTTATGGAAGTGATTAGCCTCTTTGTTTTCCTCTACGTCCTTATTTGCCTCAGGTAGTGCGGTTGATCCAGGAGGTCTCAATTCACTGTTCCTCATCAGCAGTTCATTATTTTGCTCAGCTTGCAATATACATGATATCAGATTTGCATATGTTGTGAAGCCCTTTTCACGGCACTGTTGTTGTAACAATACATTACTTGAGTGGAAGGTGGAGAAGGTCTTTTCTAACATATCCTTATCCATTACATCCTCACCACATAGTTTCAGTTTAGAAATAATCTTAAATAAGACTGACTTATACTCATCCACGGACTTGAAGTCCTGGATTCTGAGATTTCTCCAATCATATAGAGCCTTTGGTAATATCACCATCTTTGGTTATCATATCTTGTTTTCAACTCTATCCAAAGGTCTAGAGGATTCTCAATTGCCAAATACTGATCTTTGAGACCTTCAGTAAGATGATGGCGAATAAACACTATAGCTCTGTATCTATCTTTCTCAGTTTCATTACTGCCCTCGGTGATACATTCACTGAGTCCCTTTGATTTCAGGATGATCTTAGCATCCAATGCCCATTGTAAGTAATTATCTCCTGAGAGATTTAGGGTAGCAAAATCCAAGTTGTTGATTTTCGACATCTGAAATCATATATCTCATACTTTAGATGTGTAACCAAGTTTCATCGAACAAATCGACCAAAAAAAGATATCAATTTCAAGCAATGAATTTATCAAGCCTAGTTCGGTTCTAGCATTAGGGCTAGTTTGGTTCTAGACTAGTTCGGTTCATGCGATTTTAAACAATCAACCTAGCATACGGTTTCAGTCTTAAAACATTCAATCAAATCTATCAATCAATCAAGCATGAACAATTTGGTCAAATGAGGGATTTAAAAAACCTAGCATCCAGTGTCTAAGTGTTCGTGTAAACCTCAATCAAAACAATCAAGCAATCAAACAAAAACATCATTGGGTTCCAACTAACAACCTAATCGGTTCATACAACCAAACGGTTCTATCAATGTGATTAGGGTTTCTCGATTTTAGGGTTTCAATTTACAGCATTAGGGCTTTGATTTCTTAAATTAGGGTTTCAGAATTACCTTAAACTCCAATTTAGTTGAATGGACCGAACAAGAGAAGATCGAACAAGCTGGAACTTGTTCGGATCACAAATTGGAATCGGATCCTGCTGCGATCGGACCGTGGATGGGGCTTGTTGAGATCGGGTTCGCGATTTGCTTACATTGGGTTGAGAATTTTGGTACTTGCTGCTATCGGGTAGAGTTTCAGAAATCGGGAACTCGCTGCGATCGGATTGAGGATTGCATCGATCGCGGATGAATAGGCTGAGATTGGTGGCTGATCAAGAATTAGGGTTAGGGTTCCGGCTAGGGTTTCACAGTGGTGGTTCTCGCCGAGAAGGGGTTCCGCCGTCTAGGGTTCTTTGAGAGAGAGAGAGAGAGAGAGAGAGAGAGAGAGAGAGAGAGAGAGAGAGAGAGAGAGAGAGAGAGAGAGAGAGAGAGAGAGAGAGAGAGAGCGATTAGGGTTTCTGGTCGGAACTTTAGCTTAGGGATTTAGAGACTTGATCATGCTGATAACGTGTTAGGAAAGTATGGGGGAATGGTCATTAACATAAGGTTCCCGTATATAGGGAGTTACAAGTACCTAAAAAAAAGAAAAACCTAAACCAACTAGGAAAAGGAAATAGTACAAAACCTAATACAACATAGAATAGAAAAAACACCAAATCTTAATCCAACAAGGATTAGGAAAACTAGGCCGACCCAGAACTCTGATGGGACGGTCCGGTACGGTTCCAGTATGGCCAATTATGGACACCATTTGGTTTATAACATTTTTGACTAAAACGATTCTTTTTTTTTTCTTTTTGAACTAGGGTTAAAACGATCCATTATTTCTGAGTTATTTTGTGCATATGATTAACTTGATGGTTCCAGTGTTCCAAAAAAGGATTAACTTCATGGTTCAATTAAAATTGTATTCTCCTTATTCCAGTCATTACATCTTTCTTAGCCAGTTGAACCCCCAGTATACACTATATTTAAAATGAAAAATACAATCAAACAATCGTGTTTTAAAATTCATAGAAAAGAAAGAAGCAAATGAAAAGTCAAGAAGTCAAAACTTGTTTAAGTATTCGGTAGATGAGATTGTCCCAAGAGTAAGTTAACTTGCCACAGAACAAACCAATAAAAAAGAGTTAAGAACTCTAAGTTTTTCATTTGATTTTTTTCTCTGAACCTTCACAACCACCAACACCTAAAATTAACCCTACAAAGTTAGATGGTCAGACAAAGGACCAAATACAAACACTCAAACTCACAAATATATACTCACACAGACACAACACTCTTTCACACATTACAATACAAACAAAATTCATCTTATGCAAATGGCGGTTTCAAAGCTTGTATTGGCTGCGACAAGCCGTAAAAGCTACAAAGTACTCTTAGGGCTAAGAGTACTGGCCTTCTCGGCTACGCTATCTGCAGCCATTGTGATGGGATTGAATAAAGAGACAAAGACGTTTGTGGTGGGAAACGTGGGAAATACTCCGGTCAAAGCTACTTTCACTGCTAAGTTCCAACACACTCCAGCTTTTGTGTAAGCCTTCATTGCTTTATATTATAATTTTGATATTCCAAATGTTAATTGTTTGTAGACCAATCTTGTTAATGATTCTTGGTGTGGGGGAAATAGGTTCTTCGTAGTAGCGAATGCAATGGTGAGCTTCCACAACATGTTGATGATGGCTATGCAGCTATTTGGAGGCAAAATAGAATTCACTGGTTTTCATCTTCTTTCCGTCGCCATTCTCGACATGGTAAACATACATATCACATATTAATATTATTAATACAGAATCATTACTAATATTTACCCCTGTTTTACCTTGGAATATTACTAGTATTGCCATTGGCCCTACTTTATAATAAAAAAAACTGCAACTATTATATATATGTACATCAGTTACTAACTTAGCAAAAAATTATCAGTTACGAACTTTCACTCTCCTTATTATAACATCTCCTATATTCTTGGGAACCACTACTCTAATTGCTAGATACAATTTACGTATACATAATGTAATATTTATATGATCATGAACTGTTAGGCTAAAATGCAAGTATACAACTACATCTAATTTATCATAGTACTCATGATAACATTATTGACATTTTCATTTTTTAGAAGAGTTGTTTTCTAAAGAACAAAAATCAATATTTATTTATAAACAATATAGCATAAACAGAAAAACAAGAAAACATTTTTTTTTTTACATTTCCTCCTTCAGCTTACGATGTCTTTTAATAAAGTTTCTAAAATTGGTTTTACTAATCAAAAGATATAACTTTATATAAATTCAATAGAAACAAAATAATCAAAATAATTCAATTATGTATTTTATTTATTGAAAGGTCTGTACTATTAATATTAAACACAAATCTATATAGAAAAACCTAAATATAAAAGTTAAATTTTTCAAAAAAAATTAAACAAAAAATATATCCGTCCTTGGAAAGGACGGATGAGAATCTAGTGTACAATTATATGAATATATTCTCCACATGGTAAACATATACGTCTGTACAGGTATATGATTATATCCTCCAGATGGTAAATACGTACATACGTACACTGTACACATATGAATATATTAATGTTTCTTAAAGTCCTTAGTTGTTAACGACTAGCTAGCCGACTAGTGGAGAAGGTGGACTAGTAGATATGTTAGTTGTTTTTTTTTTTTTTTTAGAAGTTTTAATTTAGGTTCCAAACTTCTTATAATATGAAAATTTTATTATGTTCATCTCATGAAACTGAAACAATACTGGCATATGTTTTGTCGAATATTAATTTAGAAAAACTGCATTTTCAAACTTTTTGCTGACTTGGCTTCTTCATGGGTCATGCAATACACGTTAAAACAGCTGAATGTGACACTGATTTCGGCGGCAGCTAACGCAGCGGCGTTCATATCAGAAGTGGGGAAGAATGGGAATAAACACGCGAGATGGGACAAAATCTGTGACAGATTCGCCACTTACTGCGATCACGGCGCCGGAGCATTGATTGCTGCCTTCGCCGGTGTGGTCCTGATGCTCACTATCTCCGCCGTCTCAATATCTCGTCTCGCTCCTCCTAATAAATGCTCCTATTCCACGGCCGCAACTCCCTCCGTCATCCCCTGACGAATCACCGCCTCAAAATTATACACACATACATGTCTCTTTCCCTTGTTTCCTTACTTCTTTGCTTTGTTGAGTGTTTCAGTGTATGTATGTACCTCGAGTGATTGTTTAAGCATATAAGCATTCGCCTTGTATGTTACTCTGTTAGTAATTGTTAGTAATTAACTTTCTTCTTGTACTTTGTATTCTTTTATTTTGGTCTTCTTAAATATGATGTTATGATCCGACTAAAATCTTATTTGACATGTCAACTATACTTATTAGCATCCATATATATATGATTTGTTCCATACTTGATCGTATCCAGTATCCGTCTATTTTATATAGAGAATTATGCTAATATAGTACAGAAACACAGATCTCTTGTCCTCTTAGTATAAAATATTTTTTGTCCATTTTTTCTCTTTTTTACCCTTTCTATTTCTAAAAATTAATAAAATTAATAGTTATATGAATGGAAAAAATAATTAAAAATACAAAGAAGTGATATTTTTTATTTTATTTTAACAAACTTGGTAAACTATAAATTTTAATTACATTCTACGGAAAGTAGAATTCTTATTCTACAAAAAATCGCATAGAAGAAATCATATTCCATGTTAAACATTAAAATCTACATTTTTAGAACCTATATTCTACGTTTATATAAAACTCTACATTTTTTAGAACCTATATTTTACGTTAATATAGAATTCTACAAAATAACTGAATGTGGGTTCTACGTTTTAACCACTTCTACAAATCCCAGAATACATAATCTACACATAAGTCAAACGTCTACTCATAGTAGAATCTGCTTGTAGTGAGATGTTAGTGTTTCTACACTCTGTAGAAGATATCTTCTATGGTTAAAATAAAACAAAATTCTGAAAATTTTGGAAATTATTTAAGAAAATATTCTAAAAAGATTTGTTAATAAACTCCAGACTTTCACAAGGATTTGAAACGGATAGATACTCATTTTGCGAATCTTATAGTTTTTCTACTGATAAGTTTTTTCTAATATGTTGTCGTTTAGAAAGATCTCAATTTGTATTATGGTTGCTGATTCGGTTCTTCTGTCAAAAAAGTGTGTGGCATTTGGCACATCACTATTCAGTCTCCGAACCTTTTCTACGGATTCCAATATATCATCCAGATGAAAAAAAATGTTCAAGGTTTGTATACATTTAAAAACACTCTCAACATTCGAAGCATAGAACTCTTTCATCAACTAGCAAGGTATGAAATAGAGACAACTTCACACACAACAATTTGAAAACTCTTAAGCTTCATAACGACCTTTAAAACATTATATAAAATATCAAATCCATAGTGACATTTCCATCATAATTTTCACTGGATATTTTTACTTACAACGAAATACCTTAAAGTAAAAAACATGCCAAAGCAATAAAAACCCTACTGAAGCAGATTGAAGTAGAAAGCTACCATCACTGGCGCACGACCTTTTACTCTCAATCCCATAAGATCTGAGCAAAACTCGAGAACCATCGGAACTGGTCTTGCTCTAGAGGAAAACCATATGAAACTGGTTTTGCTCAGGGGAACCCAAAAAAACCTAAACCCTCATTAAACCAGCTGCTCCAAGAACATACAACTTTAGGTACTAGCTGTTGGGAATGTCCTAAAATCATTTGTACTTACTCTTGTTAAAGTCGTAAAGTCGAGGTTCGACAATCATATAATATTAGGTGGTTATAATGTTTTGTTAGAAACCGCTTATAATCTATGAATTGAGAATTCATTACTAATACTATATGATCCTATAGGGTCACACACCTAAGCAAACTGAATAATAAATATGTTGGAATTAGTATTATGTATATATGATATATATAATAATTTAATATATATATATATATATATATATATATTTATTTAGACATAAGTTATCTTAATATGATTAAGATTAGAACTATAATGGGCCAAGTTGAGATTATTAAAGTAATGGTCTGGTTCATTATCAAACCTAAACGTATTAGGTCATGTGTCTTCAATTTATATATAGTTTTGCTTAATGAAGCAATATATGAGCTTCAGCCGCACAAGACAATTGTGAGATAGAGATCTCATTTGGTGTGTGTGTTTTGTGAAGAAGAAAAGTATTTCTTCTTAGGCAAGCAATTAAAGAGATCCAACTTAATCGAAGGCGTTCGTTATATTCTGAGATTCAACGGTACTAGCATCCCGTCTCAATTTAGTTTATGTGTGTGTGGATACCGATAGAGGCACGACGTTTGAAGTGCTAAAAACCTCGATCTGTTTTATTCATCTTTCCGCTGCGAATAACCAGGTATATTCGAAAACCCTAAAGATCTAGATTTATTTCAGTATTTGCATGAGATTCTAGGCAAATAGAATTCATAGGTTGTTTTATAAAGCGTTATAAACTGGTATGAATTCCTACAGTGGTATCAGAGCCTACTTAGTTTATACTGAATCTAAATCTGAAACAATAAATATATGTTAGATATATGAAACTGTTAAAATCTGTATGAACTATTCTTAATCGTAATTGGATTATCAGTGAAGTTACGTTTCGTTCATATAGTTTAGATCATGAATATATAATATTTGACTTATTGATTTACGGCTGAAAGAAAATTGGAATTTGGGAAAGTCAATATTTTGCATATACGAGATAATTATAATCTTCAGATTACCAAGCAACTAATATATAGTTAATATAATATATTGTTTACTTGCTTATCGTATGATATTTAATAACTAGGCATCACGCATTATCGTAGTGTTTGACTGCATGTTGAATATATGTTGTCGTGAATCGTGACTATTGAAACCGATTGAACAAAGTGTTTGGTTTGATTGGTTTAATACAATTGGTTTGGTCGTTTGATTAGATTTTAATTAAATTAAATTCTAAAGTCAAATATATAAATAGTTAATTATTTTAATTAGATTAAATCATTTTAACTATTTATGATTCAATTCAAATACATATAAGATATGTATTATTTATATTTATATTTTATATAAGATATAAATTTTAAATATAAATTAAATTGAATTAAAATTTGTTCCTCAATTAATTTCAAGTATTTTTGATGTCTACCCAATTTGATCAACCATCAAGGCTCATTTCGTTGTAAGATGGGCTTGCCAAAGCAAGGTGTCTGCAATTACATGAGTGAGGTGGATGGTAACGGTTACCATATGAAACAAAATTGGTTTACTTGACTAGGCTATCAAACCGGTTTTGGGCTTAGAGACATAGGTTGGATAAGACATAAGATGTCATCTGACAACCAAGAATATATTGGATATAATTAGCAAAGTGTTGCTTACCTAAATAACTAAAATTCAGGCGATGAGCCAAAGCTCACTTGAATTTTAGTGAAATATGGATCTTGGATTATTATATTCATTTGAGGAAATTGTTTTGAATATAATATGAGTTTTCTCAATTGTTGAGATTTCTAAATTCATGAGCATCATATTAATATTCCTTATTCTTCTATTCCAGAAATGTTAACTCCTCACAACCCGTTTTCATTTCGATGTGTTCTTTAGAAGAACAAAATTATTGGATCAAACTTCCTCCAATGGTATCGAAACCCGAGAATTGTTCTCAAGCAAGAGTTTAAACCCTACTTGGAAGATCTGAAAAGTAAAAAGAGTTTTGAAACATCGTCTAGGGGTATTTATGTTATAGAAGTAAATGTTACTACTTCCGGTTCTACTTCTTGGGTATTAGATACCGGCTGTGGTGCTCATATTTGTACGAATATGAATGGCCTAAGCAACAGTAGAATTTTGGAGAAAGGATAAGTGGACCTACGCGTAGAAAATGGAGCAAGAGTTGCTGCATTAGCCGTGGGATCATTTCATTTGTCTTTACCTTCAGGCTTGGTTTTAGAACTTAAAAATTGCTACTATGTGCCTGCTATAAGTAGGAACATTATTTCCATTCCTTGTTTGGATTTGGAAGGATTTCATTTTTCGATTAAAAACAAGTGTTGTTCTTTTGATCGTAGTGATGTCTTTTATGGTAGCGGTCCATTAGAGAATGGACTTTACATTCTAGACCAAAGCATGCCTGTCTATAATATCAGTACCAAAAGATTTAAGTCTAACGACTCGAATCAGACATTTCTTTGGCATTGTCGTTTGGGCCACATAAATGAGAAACGCATTCAAAAGCTTCATAGTGATGGACTTTTGAGCTCATTTGATTATGAATCATATGAAAACTGTGAATCTTGTTTGTTGGGTAAAATGACTAAGGCTCTTTTTACTGGACACGGTGAGAGAGCTAAATACTTGTTGGAACTTATACATACTGATGTATGTGGACCAATGAGTATAAATGCCAGAGGAAACTATCAGTACTTCATCACATTCACTGACGACTTCAGTAGATATGCCTATGTTTATCTAATGAAACATAAGTCTGAATCTTTTGAAAAGTTCAAAGAATTTCAGAATGAAGTACAAAACCAGCTTGACAAGAAAATAAAAGCTCTTCGATCTAATCGGGGTGGAGAATATTTGAGTCAAGTGTTTAATGATCATCTGAGAGAATGTGGAATTGTTTCACAACTCACTCCTCCAGGAACCACAACAATGGAATGGTGTGCCCGAAAGGAGAAATCAAACTTTATTAGATATGGTTCGGTCTATGATGAGTCATGCAGATCTTCCACCATCTTTTTGGGGATACGCTCTAGAAACATTTGCGTTCACGCTAAATAGATGTCCATCAAAGTCAGTTGAGAAGACACCATATCAGATGTGGACTGGAAAGGTTCCAAATTTGTCTTTTCTGAAAATTTGGGGTTCTGATGCTTATGTAAAACGTGTGTTTACTGATAAGCTTGGACCCAAATCTGATAAATGCTACTTCGTTGGTTATCCTAAAGAAACCAAAGGTTATTATTTTTTACAATCCCAGCGAGAATAAAGTGTTTGTTGCTCGTAGTGGTGTTTTTCTAGAAAGAGAATTTCTTTCCAGAAAGAACAGTGGGAGTAAAATAAATCTCGAAGAAGTTCGAGAAACACAGGAGATTGCTTCGTCTTCTCAGGAAGATGATCAATTAGATTTACGAAGAGTCGTAGAATCTACACCTGTGGAACCTGAGGTACGTAGGTCTGAAAGAACACGTCACGAACCTAATAGATATGGGGTTTGGGTGATAGATCATTATGATCTACTGATAATAAGACAATGATGATTCTACGTCCTTTGAGGAAGCAATGATGGGCCCTGACTTCAATATATGGCTTGAAGCAAGCATCTCAGAGTTGAAATCTTCGTTTTAATGAGAAAATCAAAGAGTTTGATTGCATTAGAAATGAAGAAGAATCTTGTGTTTACAAGAAGACTAGTGGGAGCGCAATTGTTTTCTTAGTATTGTATGTAGATGACATACTTCTCATTAAGAAGGACGTTCCTATGCTTGATTCTGTAAAGACTTGGCTTGGAGGTCATTTTTCAATGAAATACATGGGAGAAGCTGTATATATTCTTGGAATAAAAATCTATAGATATAGATTAAATATGACTATTGGACTATGTCAAGATAATTATATCGATAAGGTCTTGCATAGATTCAAGATGCATGATTCCAAGAAAGGCTTCTTGCCAATGTCTTATGGCATAACTCTTAGCAAGATTCAGTGTCCTTCAACACATGATGAGCGAGAGCGGATGAGTAGAATCCCATATGCTTCGGCTATAGGATCTATCATGTGTGCCACGATCTGTACTCGTTCAGAGGTTGCATGACGAGTTGATACCATTCTGATCTAGGTGAAAGTCACTGGAAATCAGTCAAGACTATCCTCGATTATTTGAGAAATACGAAGGATAAGTTTGGTCTATGGAGGAAGTGATGAACTTGTTGAAAGGTGAGTTGGAAGAGTTCCAAGCAAAGCACCACATTAGAGTCTTAATGGATGCAAAAGTTGTTGATCCATTGACTAAGCCTCTGTCATGGCCTAAGCATGAGAGTCATACTGCAGCCGCGGACATTATTTATCTTAAGATGTGATCTTAATTTTAGTGGGAGGCTTCATGTTTATGATATGATGTTCATATTGACATACATTTGGTTATGTATTCAAACTAATGAAACTGTTTCAGATTTATTTGATTATTGGATAATTAAATAAATGTCCCAAAATAATTTATATCATTCTTATAGGTCATCAAGTACGTGACTTGATCATGAAACTCTATAAGTGAAAGATGCTGTAAGTTATTGAGGTCCCTAGTCAAGGTTATTAACATGGGGCATTAATAACCGAGAATGACTAGTATGTGAGGTGATTGATGACTAAGTTTCATGGAGTCATTCAATATGTTGTATTGAAGTCAATCACATGGATATGTGTTAGAGAACACATGATCGGGCTGACCCGCTAATGAGAACTCTGCAAGATTGTTATATGAGTGTCNTGATTAGGTGTTCTATGAAGTTTGTAAAGAACATGGATGGAACAAGATGGGATTTGTCCCTCCCATATAACGGGAGATAAATATCTCTGGGCCTATCGAAGATTTGATACTGAGAAATGCATGGCCATGCTCAAACGAGGTGAATGTCAGTCGTTTGTTTTATCAGTATAAATCAGAGTTCGATAAACATGATCTAGCTTAATAAGGATGACACTAGTTCTTGCCTTACGCTGAGATCGAGATATAGAAACAAAAGGATTATAAGAATAGATGATTCTAGTACAAGTGGGAGATTGTTGGGAATGTCCTAAAATCATTTGTACTTACTCTTGTTAAAGTCGTAAAGTCGAGGTTCGACAATCATATAATATTAGGTGGTTATAATGTTTTGCTAGAAACCGCTTATAATCTATGAATTGAGAATTCATTACTAATACTATATGATCCTATAGGGTCACACACCTAAGCAAACTGAATAATAAATATGTTGGAATTAGTATTATGTATATATGATATATATAATAATTTAATATATATATATATATATATATATATTTATTTAGACATAAGTTATCTTAATATGATAAAGATTAGAACTATAATGGGCCAAATTGAGATTATTAAAGTAATGGTCTGGTCCATTATCAAACCTAAGCGTATTAGGTCATGTGTCTTCAATTTATATATAGTTTTGCTTAATGAAGCAATATATGAGCTTCAGCCGCACAAGACAATTGTGAGATAGAGATCTCATTTGGTGTGTGTGTTTTGTGAAGAAGAAAAGTGTTTCTTCTTAGGCAAGCAATTAAAGAGATCCAACTTAAGCGAAGGCGTTCGTTATATTCTGAGATTCAACGGTACTAGCATCCCGTCTCAATTTAGTTTGTGTGCGTGTGGATACCGATAGAGGCACGACGTTTGGAGTGCTAAAAACCTCGATCTGTTTTATTCATCTTTCCGCTGCGAATAACCAGGTATATTCGAAAACCCTAAAGATCTAGATTTATTTCAATATTTGCATGAGATTCTAGGCAAATAGAATTCATAGGTTGTTTTATAAAGCGTTATAAACTGGTATGAATTCCTACACTAGCAACATATATATCTAGCTGCTAGTAACTAATATCACGCAAACTGTCCAGAAAAATGTTAATCTTTCACAAAACCCTATCTCATCTCCCTGAGGAGACCAATGTCTTTTCATCATTAGCGCTCATTGATGGATGAGGAACCGGGTGGCCAGGGTTTGAAGCAGGGATGGCTGCTTCTTCCTCAACTGGTACAGCCTTCGATGTGTAAGTAAAGTTGAGTTCTTTGTTAGCTGCAAGTCCCACAAGCTCTTTATCTTCAAGCCCTTTTGTTGGTCCAAGGCTGCACCTATCTGGACTATGCTTTGCCAATGCATGTCTAAATTTCTTTATCTAAAGACAACAAAAATCAAAAATCAAAAATCAAACTCTAAGATGATTTTGACTGAATGTGGGGGATAATGAGATACCTACCGTAGCATTGGTACAGCTATAGCTATAGACACGACCATGAGCACCACGGTAAAATCGAAAAAAGGGAGGACATGGACACCAAGACTGTAACACATAGACTTGTGCTCCTCGTAATTCACCTGAAGAAACTCCACATCATGGTTCTGCTCTGCCAACTGACATAACTGCAACATTCATAAAATTCATAAACCATTATGATTAGAAAATTAGAATGACTCAAATTTATGGTGATATTACTAGAATGACTCATATTTTTTTCAAATTATTAGAATGTTTTTGTGGTCAGAATTACCCCTGCCGTACAACAGAGTTGTTAAAAATGTCTATCGTATGACACAACAGATTTGTCTATATTTTGTCTGATTTGTATTAAAAAAATTATTTCTTAAATATGTCTGTCGGATGACACAACAGATTTGTATCAAACCACAGATTTGTGCGATCGACTTATTTTCGAAAGGCAGACTTGTTGAGTTATGACCGATTTGTATAGAAAATCTATTATTCCTACGGTAGACTTAAGGCAAATCTATCACAGATTTACAAATGCTGTAGACTTGTTGCATTACGACGTGGCCGACTTGTTATTTTACGTAGTGACAGATTTGTTTAATTGTTCTGGGTTTTAGTAAACCAGTAGAAATTAAATTCGGATTTAATCCCGGTTTACTCCAATTAATTCGATTTTGGTTTATTTCTAGTGGTTTAAGACCACAATTAGGGCTAATTATTTTTTTAGTAACTGTCGTCATCTCTTTCACCCCTCTTTTCTTCTTTCTCAAGTTGTTCCTTTCATGGTGGTTTGAACACTTTCTNGATTTAATCCCGGTTTACTCCAATTAATTCGATTTTGGTTTATTTCTAGTGGTTTAAGACCACAATTAGGGCTAATTATTTTTTTAGTAACTGTCGTCATCTCTTTCACCCCTCTTTTCTTCTTTCTCAAGTTGTTCCTTTCATGGTGGTTTGAACACTTTCTTCCATTCTTTCTGTTTACAGAACAATGGATCACATCGATCTTATCGGTGGAAAGATGCGACGTAAGAGACAAAGACGACGAGATGGACTTCTGACAGAGGCGATGGTGTCGGAGTGAGAGAGGAACGACGACGAGACTCGATCGAAGAATCCCCCCCTTCGAAATCGTCGTTGTCGTGCGAGAAAGAGAGAGAGACCCGAGAAAGAATTTTATTTTTCTCTTTTATGTTGAATCTAATTTATTTTCTCTTTTATGTTTAATATTTTTTTTCCTCGTAAACTTTTTTTTTTGGATTGCACACATTAAAAGGGTATTTTAATCCATTTGCTTGTTATAAAATAGGGTCTAGTATTTAAAATTTTATATGAGTCATTATAGTCATTTTAAGATCAATTTGGGTCATTCCAAGTAATTCCTCTTATGATTATTTAAAAAATAATAATCTTTCCTGCAACCAACTAGTGAATCTTTATTATACATTAGGATGAAGAGCCTTGCAGCCACAACAGCCAGGTGAGAAGAAGTCAACCACAACGAGCTTATCACCAGCGTTGGTAAGAGAGTCAACGAGTTCTTGAGCTGAAGAGATCTCTCTCATGTTCTCTTTCAGACCTTTCTCCCGCAGTTTCTGAGTTGTCCCAATCCTCAGTGCTGTCTGTATAACATAAACTTACACATGTCAAGATCACTTTTTTTGACAGATCCAAGAAACCAATCCGAAAGCCCTAAAAAGGTATAATCCTTACACTCAATTACTAGACGAACTCGCCCAGGCAGTTCGATCTCTTGTCCAGCTCTATCAACTTAACTACGTTCGATTTGATCCTCGAAAGGGGTACGCAGGCAGCCTTTCATAAGATTCAGTCTGAAATCAATCAAACTCTTTTGTTCTTATCTTTTTCGTCTTTTGTTATCGAGCTGCGACTCGACTAGGTTCAGGGTTTTATGTTGATAACTCGCTGATGGCCCCTCCGGCCAAAGCGTTTGTAATCTCTTGTAAAGATCGCAACGCTCTTACGCTAATTCGAAATAAGATCGACTTTCTTTATAAATTTGTTTTATTATGTTTTTCATATTTTCGCATATATTTGGTTACTTGTCGTTGGCTTCCGCAGAGATCCGGGTCCTCTGGAAAATTAGGGTTTTCTTAAGTTTCCTTATTTTACGGAAATCGACGGTGTGAATTTCGGTTTCCACAATCGCGTTTTAGGACTTTCCGAGCCGTTTAGCGATAAAACCGTTTTACGACTTTAGACGAGATCGTTTTCTGATATGATGCCGTTTTAAGTAAGTCTCTCGAGTTACTCGTAAAGTTTGGCAATGTTCGATGTTTCGGTTAATCGTTGCCATTTTCTACGATTTACTCGAAGTTTTATTAAAACGCGTTTTTTTTTACGATTTCTCACGAAAAATCTCGAGTAAATCGTATAGTTTAGATAATGTTCGGTGTTTCGTTTAACCGTTGCCGTTTTATACGATTTCCGACAGAAGGAGTGGTCGTTTTGGGTGACAGAATAAGATTCCCTGGATCTCCCTCAATCGATGCTTGACCTAAGAGATAGAGACGAGAACTTAGGGTTAGCGGAATAAGCGACAAAGCTGCCACCGACGCGCTCAGAAAATCGCTTTGGTTCAAGTCGAAGTTTCGAAAGTGGATAATGCTCGAAAAACCGTGGACGATCCAGGCCGCGCTCCATAAAGTTACCGATTACATAACCATCGAAGAGGAGACTAAAATCCTGTCTGGAAAGCATAAGCCGACAAAAGCATCCGCAAAGGATGTTGCGTCCGAGTAAAAGCTGAAAAAGAAAAAAGACTAATATAAGGGGACCTAATATAAGTGTCGGATAAAGAGAGTGTCTTTGTTTTGATTCGATAGATCTTTACCTAATTTAAAATTACGTAGTTGCAAAGCCTCCATTGTTTCGTTGAGGTGTTTTTTTTTTTTTTGAGAAAGGGCTTTTTCGTTGAGGTGTTTTTTTTTATTATTTTTGGTTGTTTTCTTGCATATCATGCTTAATGCTTACCACTAAGTTATAGTCATATCAAGCAATTTAAATCTTTATTTAAAATAATTTTAATATAGTATAAAAAGATTTTAAAGAGATATATATGTAGGCATTATCTATTTTCTATTACTTGGCCGGCAGAACAAATTTAACTTTAAGTCTGTAACAATAGAGAAAACTAACATGTATTTAAGTTTTGAAATGTTGTCTCGGATATGGTTAGATTCTTGTTATGCTTTCAGAGTTGAATCGATAAAACAATGCATGAGACCAATTGTTTTGGGTTCGTAAAATTCTGATTAAGTTTCTGATGGAAACTAATATTAAAGGCAGAACCACTAGCTGAAAAATGTAACAACGTAATAATCGATTTGTACTAGTTAGCGTTAGGACTAATGTGTCAAAAGATGAATAAGTTAAACTGATATAAAGCCATACATGCATCATTATGATTTTTGTCGGACGTGATTAAAATACTGATGAATGTATGTCTAATAAAGTAGGACGAACATAACTCCTTTTACTACTATAGATCTTTCTTTCTTCTAAAAAGGCGACGCCGATAAACTGAAGATTTAACTTGTGGCAAAATTCCTATACACATATATAATAGTTTACCAATGATCATAAATATGCGTTTAACGCGGTTACCACTAAACCAACACACCAAATGATCATAAAAATGGTGTCCCGACCTCTCACGAATAATAAGCCTTCTACGCCTATTTATTCGGTATGTGAGTCCTGATGGAAGCTATGCTATTTTTTTCTGAGGCTCGGTAATAATGTTTACCGACACTACAATAACAAATGATTTTTTTTTCGTATTTTGATCTCATTTATATTTTATTACCATTAATATATTTTTTTGATATATCATCAATTCTTCAACTATTCCAGATCAAACATACTTGATTTGGAGTTCTTTCTAGATATGTGACCGTAAAGATAAATATGCACTTTAATGACATAGGTAAAATTAATGAAGCTTATAAATCTTTCCATATATACCGCAGCCCGGGATACTACAATTTCTCTCCTCTAAAATAACGCAACGTCTTTATTGCGCGACAAGATCATTATCCATGTTAGTGTGAATCCACACAAGGATCCACACTCATCTAGGTTCGGCTCTTATCCCACTTGTAACATCCATCCACCCACATATAATGGACTTTACAAGCCCACTCACCCAGCCCCATGGTTCTATTCCATGCGATGGATGGTGCATTAATTTTTTGGATATTCAGTAGACTTGTTTACTGACCATACAATCACCACATGAATTTTTGGTGCTTTGATTTCACTCACAGTAACACGAATCACTTGAAAATAAGTTATCCATCCTTCCAATACTTCAGTTCATGCTTGCTTAGTTTTGGAATTCTTTTTGGATGTGCAACCGAAAAGGTAAAAGCACTTTAGTAACATATTTAACTAAATCAATTTTTAAAACTTTTTTATATATCATAAATAAAAATGAATCGGGATGTTACAAATGAGTTTAACGTGTTACCACTGCTAAAACAGCAAATCTGATTGTTTTCAGAATATTTAGTGCATTCGAAATCTATACAAAAGGTGTGAGAACCGAAATCCACACTGTCGATTTTCCGTCAAATATGGAAACTTAGGGCGAAACCCTAATTTTCCCGAGGTCCTGGATCTCTGCGGAAATCACTAAAACAAACGAGTTTAAAGGAATATGGATGAACAACAAGAATAAAGAGATAAGAAATCGTAAGAAAGCTTTTATTGAATAAGAATCGACAACTGTTAC